ATTTGTTAGAGTAGTTTTTGTTAGTGTTGGGAGTATCGAGTACTTTTGAGAATTGAGTACATAGTTTCATTAAATATACATATGTATGTAGGTAACATTTCAATGCTTAGTGTAGAAATCTTAGTAGCTGGCAGGATTTTATTCAAATTAGTATATTAATAACGTCAATTAAATGCTACTTTGGAGTACTCAGTATCGATACCTTTAAAAATCGGGTACTGTCGATCCTTTTGAGAATCAAGTTCTGAGTACTGTTGGTATCGATACTGCCCAACACTAGTTTGTGTGCTCCCGCTATCGACTTGTATGAATTCGTCTTGCGTTTATATACTCTCATAAACGTACATAACGCCGTTTAAAGTACAAAACCGCGTATCGTCATTCTGCAAAACCGCGTAACTGACATTTGCTGCCAAAAATCGGATTTGCTCACACAAGCTCTTGGCTCAATCCTTATCTATTCGTCCTGAAATATACTAGCCAGAAATGCTATTGCCTTATAAAAAAGAGAACCATTTTGAAATATGAGTGCTTTTACTCTCTAGAAAATAAATTATGCAACCTCACATACGCGGTTTTGCATTTTGTTGATACGCAGTATTGTACTTTAAACGACGATGTGAGGATGATACGAAGGCGAACTCATATAAGGTAGTGTTACAGGAGCAGTTGAAATTTTCGCCCCGGCGTTTCTAAAAGAAAGCCATAAACGTAGCGACCGTTCGTTCAACGTGGTGATGGTTTGCTCTAGATTGCACCGTTTTGTGGGCCTGTTGAATGAATTTGTGTCTTGGTTGAATGAAAGATAAGCAAATTTTGATTTTCTGGCAAGTTGTACAACTCGGCTCTACATTAATGGCCATGTTGTACCAAGTCATAACCCAAAATGGTTAACTCAGCCGAAAGATGTACATACGTGCTTTTGTTGAATTTTATAAATGTAAGCTAAGAAATTGTAAGAATGAGATTGCTCGCAAAATTGAAACAGTTGTGGGAAAAACGTCCAACTTGATTGCGGATCGGTGTGAACCCACGTTCGCAACGTTTAAGGTTTGCATTATGTCAAAATGATGTGTTTGTTGTAATTCATGTTGTCATTGACTACCATTATGCGTAGACCAATTCATTATATCATTTTATGCGTTCGAGTAGAAACTGAGTGTATGAACAGCATTTCATGACTTCAATTATACGCGAATGGAGTTTAAGCACTGAGTTTTTACTCAAATTTATGAAATGATTTCGTGAATTAGACTACACATAAACGTGATAATTGTGCGTATAGTTTGTAAGGTAGCTTTGTGTTTTTATACTCTTGTTACTACATGAATATAGGTTCTCGCCTTGGAAGATAGAAAGCGAGAAAGAAGAAATTCCGAACAAAGGAATTTGTCTTCTTTCAACTTAAATAAATGCATTTTGCAAACAAAAGTGCATAGTGCATTGGTTATAATGCACGGGGTGAATCGTAACAAATCGCAGCGAATTCGTAAGGATTTATTTATTGCATTATAAACATTTGCATTATTATGTGACAATTCACTCCGTTCAGTTACTTCCATTATAACCCGGTCCTAAGGATGCTGGCAGGCCGAGTTGATATAAGGTAGTGTTACCGGAAAATGAATAAATAAATTATATATCAGCAAAATGAATAAAATGAAATGAAATTAATGTTTAATTTCTACCCTAACCTATGTATGTAACTCAATCGCCTAATGGTTTGCCGTGCCGTACACATATGTTTACACATCAAATTTCGTGAATACCTGGTACTCACACCATTTTTAAGAAGTTTCACTTCTGTCACGTGTGGGATGCTACACACGCCTTTTTTAATAAAAGTTATAACCGTTACGGCCCCTAAAAATAAATAATAAAAAACTTCCATTACATACATTTTCACTTATGGAAATTCAAAAAATGTTCACCGAAATTTAAAATTTTCTACATACCTACATATGGGTGTTTCCTGCGTTGCGGACGTTCCGTTTGGAGACACTTTTTCATTATAAAACACTTTTTTTGTCATGAGTAGTCATCATCAATACCCACCGAAATCAATAAAAATATTTTCCACAAATGTTATATGGTAAGAATACAGCGATTAAAAATTCCCGTTCGGACGTTCCCAAAATGGAACTCGTATCGACGATGACTGATGATTTTTGCTAAATTCTGCGAATCTGTTAACGAAGTTCGAAGTTGTTCGGACGTTCCCGTTCGGACGTTCCGATTTTTTTCCAAGGGATAACATTTTTTGGTTAAGAATATAAACACACTAATTTTTTTTATGCAAATATGGGGTTTTATTGTAAATAATTCTACATCTACACGAAGGCCTTAATTAACGTTCGCAGAAGTCATTTCTTCGTACAAGCAGACGTACATATCGACGCCTCCAAACCATACTATGCTAAGTCTGACTAAGTCTAAGCTGACTTAGCATAATATGGTTTATGAATAAAATGAAATGAAATTAATGTTTAATTTCTAACCTAACCTATGTATGTAACTCAATCGCCTAATGGTTTGCCGTGCCGTACACATATGTTTACACATCAAATTTCGTGAGTACCTGGTACTCACACCATTTTTAAGAAGTTTCACTTCTGTCACGTGTGGGATGCTACACACGCCTTTTTTAATAAAAGTTGTAACCGTTACGGCCCCTAAAAAGCATAATAAAAAACTTCCATTACATACATTTTCACTTATGGAAATTCAAAAAATGTTCACCGAAATTTAAAATTTTCTACATACCTACATATGGGTGTTTCCTGCGTTGCGGACGTTCCGTTTGGAGACACTTTTTTCATTATAAAAACTATAGTAGGCTCTGAATGAACACACTTTTTTTGTCATGAGTAGTCATCATCAATACCCATCTGAAATCAATAAAAATATTTTCCACAAATGTTATATGGTAAGTATACAGCGATTAAAAATTCCCGTTCGGACGTTCCCAAAATGGAACTCGTATCGACGATGACTGATGATTTTTGCTAAATTCTGCGAATCTGTTAACGAAGTTCGAAGTTGTTCGGACGTTCCCGTTCGGACGTTCCGATTTTTTTCCAAGGGATAACATTTTTTGGTTAAGAATATAAACACACTCATTTTTTTTATGCAAATATGGGGTTTTATTGTAAATAATTCTACATCTACACGAAGGCCTTAATTAACGTTCGCAGAAGTCATTTCTTCGTACAAGCAGACGTACATATCGACGCCTCCAAACCATACTATGCTAAGTCTGACTAAGTCTAAGCTGACTTAGCATAATATGGTTTAGAGGCGTCGGTATGTACTATATCTATATTCTGTTACTCACAAACTTGAGTATACGGTTTTTTTGTTAATATTCGCAATGTTTTACACGCTCATTTTTTTTTAATTTTATTTTGTATTGAAATATGTCTTATATTTTGGCAAACCCCATTTAAATCCAAATATGAATCTGTCTACGAATATTATGAAAAATCTGCAGAGCAAACTTTTTAGCAAAAATTTATAAAAAAAAATAGGTATGTAGTTTTATAGCACATTCAGTTTTAGTATAATAATGTGCAAATTTCAAATGTATAAACAATTCTCAAAAATCATAGCGAATTTTTAGACATTTGAAATTTGCACATTATTATACTAAAACTGAATGGGCTATAAAACTACATACCTGATTTTTTTTTACAAATTCTTGTTAAAATGTTTGCAATTTTGCTGAAACTTTACAGATTTTTCATAATTTTCGTACACAGTTTCATACTTGGATTTAAATATAAGCCATATCTTAATGTGAAATTAACAAAAAAATTTTGCAAATACTAACAAAAAAACCGTATGCTCAATTTTGTGAGTAACAGTACCTACATAGAATAATATGAACAAAAGTTATTTGAAGCGTTCGGACGTTCCGATTTTTAATATACTTACAATCGATAATCCTATAGCTTTCCGAAAAAAATTTGATGCGACTGGCAAGAGTAACCAAAACTAACTTTTGTATTAAAATTTTGACATATGAAGTAAACGTTACGACTCTTTTTTTTTACATGTAAAGTATATTTTGCGTCCGAACGTTTAAAAAAAAGCACAATTTGTAATTTAACTTTGGATCGTTCCTAATATATTTTTAAGTTGTTTTTGTTGTAAGGCTTACAGAACATAAGCTGTACTAAATTTTCGTATAGATTTCCCATTCTTTTTAATCGTGTGCTACAGTTATGAAGGATTTCTGGAAGGTATGGCTTCTCGGAAAAAAAGAAAAATTAAAAGTGTAGTTGGAAAACCGCAAATATCTTGAAATGGAATGGACCAATTAGTCCAATATTTTGGTGGATGAAAGACAATTGGCATCTATAAATTTTGTCCAGGCAAAATTCTATTTTTTTGGCCTTGGTTGACACTTTTCAGGAAACACCCATATTCAGAGTTCTTAAAAAATTTTTTTGTATGCATTCAATTTTAGTATAATAGATAAAGTGTAAGTTTCCAGCGGCTACAAAATACCGTTGATTTTTAATAGTATGATATGTTGCTTTACTTCTTATGCATCCAGCATTTCTCTTTCAGTGTTTTTTTTTGGTTGAAATTTAAAAAAGTAATCGTTATTTACGTTCCCTGGTAGAAACATTTGAGTGCGCAGAGCTTTTCACGCTGACCCACAAGATTGGCAGCAGTGGCGATAATTGTGGAGATGCAAAGACCACGAGCTCCCAATCGGTGATGGCGGAAATTTAGCTTTGGCATTGCGTAAACAATTTTCAGCTGGGTTTTTCCGATAGCAATTACTTCGCATAGGAAAACTGTATAAAAAACTACGATTTATGTAATTAATATTTTAATTTTGTTATTAGAGCTCGGTAGAACACTTCTATGAATCGATTTCTCCATAATATGGCTTAGGCGGTTATTCTTTGTGACTAGAGGTACAGAGCCTTTTTTTTGTGAAAAAAGAATTATTTTAGTAACTGCTTAACTTTTTTTGTTTTTTCTTTCAGTGGTAAAAGGTCGATTTGCAAATGTGAGCCAATTGGAATGGGATAATTCAAACATGTTTACCTCGGGTGTTAACTAAAACTAACTGGAAGTTTGTGACGTTCGTCGCATGCATAAATGTTTAGGCACATAAATAACATAAAATGCCAACAAAATGAACAAATCTGGCAAATAAAACCAAATTCACACTTTTGTAGAAGACATAACAGTGAAATGTTATGAACATTGCAACACACTTATTTACAAATAATGGTTTTCCACATTTATTTAACATATAAAAGCTGCGCAGGAAATAAAAAGAAACTAAAATAAAAAAATAGGTAAAGTAAGAAAAGCTGAGGAGGAGAAAAGGAAAATAGTTAAAAATATGGCATGGAAAATGTGTGAAAATATACATATAAATATTAGCACATGTATATTTGTACGTGTAGGCGTAAGCAAATTCTAGATAAAATAGACCAAAAGAAAAATACAACATTTGTTTATGCTAGATAATTATGTTAGAATTTTCATATTGCTTAAATCAACAAATGCCCAGTTAAGCATCTTATCTTTAAGGTGAAAGGCAAATACACGTTTATTTTCAACGTAATTCCTCTAGTGGGCGCAACAACCAAAACTCCAAAACGTAAAAATAGCAAACTAATACTACAACAACACACTATACAAAAAAAAATAATTAACATGAAAAGACAAAAAAAAAACAAATAAACAACAAACAAACAAGTAAACATAATAAATCGATGCCGTCATCTTGTAGCCGCCAAGGCAACTGTAGTTATCCTTACTTATAAAAAAAGCAAGGCGCACAGCGCTGCATTAATGTTAAGAAAAATATCTTTAGATGTCCGTATGGTTACTAGTTAGCCAGAATTTAAGCCTAGTGATGCCTATCATAGAATGCCGCCTTTGTTAATAGCCTAAGATGAATGCAGAAATTAAACCAATTTGATTATACTCGCCAACGTCAGAGAGCTAATCTGAGGTTTGGAAAATCTATTGAGCCACTTACAGGGCTAGCTGTATTACGCTGAGGAAATAGTTTAGTTTCAACAGCTAAAGGCATATACATAGGTATTTAGTTGCAAAATATTGACAATATTTGGGAACTATTACCATGGCTTGAGAACCATTACCAAGTTTTGGTAATTATAAATATAGAATTTTCAGTTTAAATAAAACCATTTTCAGATTAAGCGAAACTTTTTCAAATTAAATTAAACCTTTTTCAATTGAGCGAAACTCTATTCAAATTAAATGAAACTTCCTTTTTTGGTTTACTAGGAATTCGCTGTTATCCGTTATTGTTCTTTACGGTCAAGGCACATTGAATAAGTAGTAGCAGTAAAACAGCTGCTCTGATATTTTTTTCTACTTATTTGGACTTTAAACTGCCAAAGTAATTTTTATTTTTTTTTATATTCATATTCACCAACAAATTTTTTCTCATTCTACTGTGAATTCGACCCGTTTCCAAATATTTATTCAGGAGTTGTTATATAAAATTGAATGTATATCAGAGTTACAAAATTCATTTTTAACTATTGATAATGCCAGAATTCATAAATCTTAAGGAATAAGAGATATGGTGGATAATAATGGATGTTTGCCAATGCATACTCTGCTATGTTAAACCCCATTAATAAGTTACATATGGGCCATTCCATTGTGACTAGTGGGACATTTTACTCCAGAATGTGATCAATTGTGAATTTTAACTATGTCGTCGGAACTTGTACAACAGCGAAGGAATTTTTAACATAAAATGATAACTAGTGTATAAAATTTCTTTAACAAAAATACCAAACGATTTCTTAGTTTTATGTAACTATAATTTGAATGAATATGGCTGGTGGGACACTGAAAAGAACTCTATTTTACCCTTGTTCACTCAAAAATGAATTTTAGCCAAAACACTTAATTTTTACGAACGATGTATTTGTGTTGTAAAATACGCTTTCGTTTTAAATAAAATCTTCATAGAAATATTAAAAAATATTTAAAGTTGTGACTGCTGGGACATTTCCTTGTGACTGGTGTAAAGTAATTATGCATGAAATAAAAGTTTCATAGAAAAAAATTACAACTTCTTTTGATCTTTTTTATATTTTTCCACAGGTTAATGAAATGTAGTAAATTAAGAAGAGGTTACTACTGAAATAGAGATAATTAGGGCATATTTAAATTTATGTCGTTTTCCTCTTTGCAATGGAATGACCCATATGTATATAGTTAGTATAATTTAAGAAAGTATCGCACAAATTTGTCAAAATGACTGTGCGAACTATCTTATGGACATGATCATCCAATTTCCGAAAGCGGCGAAAAAAACCCATTAAAAAAAAACAGTATTTGTTTCAATAGCAAAGCATCGTTGCTTTTAAAAAAAACCTAATCAAATTCAAATGTAAAAATATTTGTTTCAAAGGTTTCGTATTACATTTTCTTTCGATTACGTTTTCCACATGTAAAAGTATTTGCCACAACAATTTCGCATTTCTAATGACTGTTTCTCCATACGACGACATTGAAGTTGACGTTTACGTTGTTCCATCGATCATTCTAGCAGAAACACGTTTTGCGGCGGTAGCAATTTTCATTTGTGGATTATAGATAAATGTTTGTACTACAAACACAAATTTTAGTGAAAGTGAATATTTTAAAACATTTTACGCTTAGTGAGGCTGTGCAAAAGGAACTTAGTTTGCATTTTCATTGGTCTTCCTGCTGCATGACGCGCTGCTCAACGACTCCGTGCAAAAGTTGATTTTCCAGTGCATTTTAATTTGAGGCGACATTTTTGCGTGAAAGGACTATTCCAAAGGTATGAAAAAGTTTACTTACACATAATTTCAACAAAAATTTACTTATATTCTAAAACATTTTTTGTACAATTTATTTTGCATTTACATGCTCCTTGCTGCCACATAACGCGCTGCTCAGTAACGCTGTGCGACAGGTGATTTTCCAGTGATTTTTTTAAATTATCAGTATGAGTGATGAAGTGATACCATCGACGTCTACGGAGCTGTCATTATTTGCCGAGCAACGTCCGTTGGAAGATGAGTTCCCTACAACCAAAAATGTCAAAAATCAGTCAGTCAGATAAACTGAACATGGCATATTACGACGCCATGCTTGGTGCAAGTGATGCAAGTAATGTCGATTTCTTCTGTTGTGTGATTTTCGTCATTAATTTCATGTTTTTTTTTTTTTATTTAGATTGCAGGCATTATTTTTTATTATCTTATTGCATGCAGTAATAACACCGCACTATGTAACGAAATGTCGATTTCGTGCGATAAAGTCCACTTTGAATATTTTATATTTTCCTTAATATCTTAATTAAATCTATAAACCGATATTATTTTTAGCTTAATTCTCAAATTTCTTGAAATTTTATTATTTATTCTCCAGGTAACAAGCCCTCAAAGTTTGCCGAAATTACTCAAATCAGATATTAATTTTCCTATCGTAAAAAAAACATCGACTTAATTCCTTTTTTTCTATTAATATATGCCAGTTATGTTATTTATGTTAAAAGTGTTTGTGTTGCAAATCAATATTTCAGCAATTCATTATCAGGGCTCTTTTTCGATTTGCAGTCGTAATTTGTATAGAATTATCTTTGCAAGCCTGTAGTCTTCATAAAGGCTAACGAAAAATAATAATTTTTTGCATACGTATTAGTAATAGTATATATTATTTAATCATAAAGAGTTTTCTTGAATCCCTTTGCTCTCGTTAAATTAGAAGTCGTACAGTGCTTAATTTTTATTTTTATGAAGCTTTTACCCGCGGGTTTCCCTCCTCGTCTTTATACAAATATGAAAAAAACTTTATGTAACGATGTTTAATTTTATTTCTTCTCTAATTTTGCTATAGGAGAATACGGAAGGACAGTTGTATAGCTTGGGTGATTACACCCAATATATGAAATATAATAATAACTTTTTGGCACAGCAGGTGTTTTTATCATTTACATTAAAACATCTCCAATAAATAATATATCGTCGTTTAAAGTACAAACCCGCGTATCAACAAACCGCGTAAGTTAATTTGCTTAAATTATTTTCTAGATAGTAAAAATACTCATATTTCAAAATGGTTTTCTTTTTTTTAAAGCAATCGAATTTCTGGCAGGTATATTTCAGGACGAATGTACAAGAATTGAGCCAAGAGCTTGTGTGAGCAAATCCAATTTTTGGCAGCAAATGTCAGTTACGCGGTTTTGCAGAATGACGATACGCGGCTTTGTACTTTAAACGACGGTATTTATGTAAGTAATAGTAGAAATACCAATGTTGTAATACTAAAATTTTAGCTATCTAACTTCTTTGGAATAATAACTCTAATATTATTTCATAGCAATTTTTTAATACTTCAAAGCCTCTATTAACATAAATACATTTTCCAATTCAATTATGATAGGTTTTATTTTCGATAAAGTTTTGGGGTTTGTTTTAAGGAATTCTGGTTTATTACCATTTCAAAAGCTAAGCGAACTGGAAACTGAGTCTGTAAATTCGAAAGGCATATCAGAAAGAATTAAAGGGGCCATGTAAATTCTGGTTCCGAAGTTATGGCTGGTACAAAATTCAACGCCTTTGTTATGCGCTACGCCCCCTTTTACAAACTCATCTATATAAAAATACCTTACTATAAGCACCTATGTACCATAGATATGTCTGCATAGCAAATTTCAAGTTCATGTTACTAAGGGCCGGTTGCATGGAGTCGAAAACGTCGATAACGATGTTAACCGATAATTAGTGTCAACCAGGCTTTGAGCAACCGGCCCTTATTGTTCGGAAGTTATGGCTGATTAAAAATTTCACGCCTATGAGATGTGCCACGTCCCGTTCACAAACTCATTTATGTATACCGTACTATAAGCACCTATGTACCATAGATATGTCTGCATACCAATTTCCACGTTTATGTGACTTATGGCTCCGAAGTTATAGCTGATAAAAAATTCCACGCTTTTGGGATGTGCCACGCCCCATTTTACAGACTCATTTATATATACCTTACTAAAAGCACCTACTGTAGATATGTCTGCATACCAAATTTCAAGTTCATGTGACTTACGGTTCCGAAGGTATAGCTGATTAAATATTTCACACCTACGGTAGGTGTCACGCCCTCTTTTCCAATTCCGCCCATTTTTTCCCATGAGTATGGAATTAATTTCATTTATCTCGACACCAAGTTCCAGTACTCTACCACAAATATTTTAAGAGATATACAACATGACAATTTTAGTTAGTATGGGAGGTGCCACGCCCACTTTTCCAGTACTGCCGATTTTTCTTTATGCCTATAACCTTCCCGGGGTAAAAACAAATAAGTGTGCAAAGTTTCGTGCGATTCCGTGTCGCGGTTCAAAAGCTATACGGTAATAAACAAACAGACATTCACATTTATATATATAGATATTATTAAGTTTTTTTTGGTCTCAATTTAGAATTTTCCGTTCGATTTTTATTGCGATATATAATAGTGTCAAATCATGTTCGATATTTCAATACCGTGGTTTAAATAAGGGATTATCCAACACGCTCGTCTAAAATACAGAAATACAGAACTTAGTACCATCAGCTGCAAGCGTTAATGGCGAAGTTTATACAGTGAATCACAATCTAATTTTTTGTATGATTGATGGAAAGATTTGTAATACACTTGCAGACGTTAAATCAGCTCAAATATGCTACTTGTTTCATGCCACATCGAAAGAGTTCAACGACTTACAAAGTGTATCAGTAAAGCCAGTGTATGAACGATATTTATCTTTTGGCACTTCTATTCTACATATCGCACACCGTCTTCAAAAGAGTCACAACTTAAAATTTCGAATATTTGAAATTATGCGCTAAAAATGTACACAAAGCTCTTATTTACCTTTCAGCAAAAGCTGGAGCAAATTTTTGTTATAATTTGTTAAAAAACCTAAGGTAAAGTCGTCCTTGCCCATATGATTATCATGCGCTACGAAATAGTTTTTGGCATTTTCTGACGAACTTATTGTTTAGAGTTGTGACTCTTTTGAAGACGGTGTGCGATATGTGGATCCGAATGTGTGAGCTTCTACTAAATTTTGCTTAGAAATTACCAGTAAAACAATGGCGTAGTAATAAAGCTATTGAAACTGTTATCAAGAAAAATAAACGGAAGATTCAAAATGAGTTTAGAAAGCGAACTGGTGTCATTATTGACCAGCCTAAGCCTGGATTTGGCAACACTAATAATGGTAACACGGCAAAGCGATTTTTCCACAATGATATTACTGGAAGAGATGAAAACTTAATTAGAAAATTTCACGTAATTTTACAAACTATTGCCAGTGGGTTTAAAATTATGTCATTAAATTTAAAAACTATTGTTTCGAAACAGCTGAATTATTTGTTTAACTGGTATTATATGAGTACATCAGTGCATAAAATATTAATTCACGGCCATTAATAATTAATGAGGCCATTTTACCCATCGGTATGCTCTCAGAGGAAGCGCAGGAAGTTAAAAACGAGGAATTTAAGTTTTTTAGAGTTATGTTATAATTTAGTTATAATGTAATTACCTTAAATAAATAAATAAATAAGTTTTTTAGAGAACATTTAAGCTGAAAAACATCACGGTTAGATACTTTGACAGACATATTTTAAAGAATGCTGTTATCATCAGATACACTTGAAACGTGCCGGATACTAGCAAAAGGCAGTTTTATCCTGAAGCAATCGATATGTTTGAACCGGAGGACTATCCAAAAGTTGGGAATAGCAGCCAATTCGATTGATTATTGTATATTGTTATTATTAATAGAGATTTATAGTTCTGCAATGCGACTGTTAAAAATTTTCACCTTCTTAACATGCTAGTACAAGTTACATTATCAACATTTATACTTTGTTTTCAGACACATTTAATTTCTAAAAATATATTTCTTACACATATCACATCAACTTTAGTAAATTTGTCAAACCTCAAGTACCTTTTTGCTTACAATTTCTTCAGGTAGACTTAGGAGCTGTTGTTGTTTTGTATTGTATACAATAAGCTTAAGTATTATTTTCATCGCGCCTATTATAGTTGTTACTGCATTTCATATGCAAAGGTAAGCATTAGTGTGCGTGTGTGCTCATATGTTAACCGATATGTAAACTTATACACCCAAATTAATTATTTTTAACAGTTATATATCATATTTTAAACGTAGAAAGTAATTAAAAAAAAGTTTTTAATTAATCGCACGAAATCGGCATTTCGTTACATAGTGCACCGCCGAGAATAAATAAAACTATTAAACCCTCCATTACGGATGCACAACTTCCAACAAAAACTTGACGAGCTGAATAAAAGCGCACACAAATTTGGATTAACACTGCAACCTAGAGTGTTTGTTGTTGGTGAGAGTTCCCAAAACTTAAACGAATTTTATGTCTGTGTTGACAACATTAAATATAAAGAAGGTAGATTAATTAGGGCTATAGATGTAGTTATAAAAATGTCTTTTGTATTCAACATTGAATATTCCGCAAAGAGCAAATAAGTTTGTGTTTATGACATTTCCACTCGGGAAAAATTTCCTGAAATTGAAAATATTTTGAACTAATTAAACAATTTTGAACAAAAATGTACTTGAAGATAGACCCACATACTTGCTCCATATGCGGAAATGAATTTATATTATTTGAAAACCTTTTTAATCATCTTAAGAGTTTACATGGAACTCCAATTACTTGTAAATATCTATGGCGCATATTCAACTAAGTCGTAACTATTCTAAGTCACAACTAAAGCTATTCATAGGGCCGGTTTCTCCAACTCAACTTAACTTAGTTATGCCAATTTTCTTGACTTAGTCATGAATAAGCTGTGTAAAACGTAGGCTAACTTTTGACTTAAGTCCCAAAAGTGGCTAAACTAAGTTAAGTTGAGTTGGAGAAACTAGCCCATAGTCGCCTTAGTTTCGACTTTTCTGGCTAAGTACCAACTTAAAATTTTGTTTCGGCTGCAGCTGCAACTAAGTCGTAACTAGGAAGAAGTATTTTATCAAATTAAGGGAAAACAGACGAAATATGTAAAAATTAAGTTGGTAGAGGGTGATTTTGATAATATTGAATAATCTCCAATTAAAATTTAC